GACTGGGTCATCAAGAATCCGCCCCCGTACGCGGCTGCCAACACCTTCACCTAGTAAACGAAATTGAATAGCTCTATGGTGCAGGCCAAGTTGTGCCGACTGCAAATCTGGGGGAAGCACGCGATCATCCGGTGCACGTTCGGGCAGATCTGGCCGGGCATAACCTGGTAGTAGCCTAGAAATGCGGTGAGGAGGCTTGAGAATGGGAAAGTGATCGGGGCCATTAGAGAATCGTAATGCATCCCGAGCCACTTCCCCCGATGCCGCTCGATGATGTTCCCGAGCTGCCTGCTAGTGTCAAACTCGACCCGACCGGCAAGAGTTGCGGCGATTCTGCTTGCTTCTCCTTTTGTCAGCAAGCTCATCTGGCTTTCGACGCTTTCACTGTTAAGGAATTCGAACCCGTCCCCGCTTGGCGCCGCCGGCCCGGCCGGGTCTTCCTCGACCGCTTCCGTGTCGTTTGCCCGGTGGCCCTCTTCGGGCTCAACCTGAGGGTAATCCCCTATTACCCTTGTAGGCGTTTCCCTAACGCCTTCGACCGGGGAATCCCGCCCGCTCGTGGACGTTTTCCCGCTTTCTCCGCTCGAGCTCCCCGACCCGTTGGAGCTCGACCCCGGCGTCCCTGATGAGCTTGATGACCTTTCTGGCTCGGGGGCTCGGTCGGGGATTCGCTGCGATCGTTGCTCGACCTCTGGAGAGTAGGACATGATGTCCACCTCCTCGCTGATTTACTCGACCGCGTCGTCGTAATCTGCGACCGAGACATTCTGGCTATCCGAGTCTGACATCTTTTCTATCTTAAGGTCGGTCGGGGTTAGTACAGGGCTCGGGACGTTAGGTCGGAGTTAGTCCTACCCTACTCCTATGCAAAGCTAAAAATAAAGCAAAAGCTAAGGAGTAGAGAGCTTACCGATCAGGGAAACTTTGCTGAAGTTTGCAGGTGAGTTGCTCGGTTGATCTGCTGAATAGCTCGCTCGGGACTCTCTGAGGGTGCCGATTGGATCAGAAGATTGAGGAAAGTTCAAATGAAGGCCTCAAGGGCCTATTTATAGGAGAGCATTTGGGCGGGAAACCAATCCACTTGCGCGATGTGACCCGCACTGATTCCAAGGCGACCGTTGCAGTCGTAGATGCCGGCAGTCGCCGACACGTGGCGAGAGGAGGAATGACAGCTGGCCGGTCGGTTTGGTAGCTGACGGTTGGGCTTCTTCATCCCGTCCCGTTTTTCCCGGACGGTTAAAAAGGCCCGGGCTGGGGGGCTCTTGGTAGGGAATATCCCGACCGACATAATTTTACCCCGGCTGGTGTGCCTTTGTCTTTTCTTCTTGTCTTTGCAGGTAACAGGTCGGGCTTCTTGAGAAGAACCCGGTCGGGGTCCGACCGGGAATTGCCCGAGTGGCAGTGTCGACCATCGAGCGGTAGCCCTTTGGCGAGAGAGCTGACAAAGGACACGTGGCGGCTCCTTGCGACGACAGACAGGGCACCCGGGAGGATGACATGTGGTGGCTACGTGGAGAGCATGCCGAACGACCGGATTTGTGTCTCCGGCGCAGTGGCTATAAATACCCACGATAGCTACAGTGTGGGGGACTTTTGGACGATCGATAGGTTGTTGTTAGAGAATCCCGACCGCAGTCAGTCGGTACTCAGAGCAACCAAGTAGATTGTACTTAGGGCCTTCACCGTGATCAATAAAGATATTTACTTGCTTTAATTGGTCTCGTATTTGCTTAATTATTGCTTACGTGGTAATTAGCAGTATCAACAATATATTCCTAACACACAACTATGGAATTTGATTATCCCTTCAATTAAAAACCCCATTCCCTAATTTAAAAAGGTATCATTTCATCTTATGGTAATATGATTTTTAAGTTTGGATTAGTCCTTTTAGATTTTTGTTTTGATTTTTTTTTTCATATATATATTGGTGCATTGGATGTCATTATATTAGGATCAATTGCCTTGATTTTTTGTTTTTGTATTTTTTTTTTTTTTTGAGAAGGTAAACTTAATTCATTAAATCAGAATGGAGAACATTTACAAGAAAGGATGGAGGGGAGTCAAGCCACTCCCCGCAACCTGACAAAGAAAAGGCCCCCCTAGCAACACAGTGAGCGGCACGATTCGCAGATCGCTTAACAAAATAGAATTCAACATCCTCAATTTCAGATGCTAAATCCTTTACATCATCCACCAAATAACCAAAAGCTGAATTAAAAGACACAGAACGAATAGCATTATAGACAAGTTGCGAGTCCATTTCCACATCCACACGTCCCAGTCCTGTACTCTTAAGCTAGCTAAGAGCCTCCCTAACGCACAAGGCCTCAGCTTCCTTCACCAAATAAATCCCTGTTACAAGCACATTCTTAGCCGCCAAGAACCCCCCACTATCATCACGCAGCACCCACCCCAAGCCCATCCGCCCTTCGTCCTGCCGCACAGAAACATCGGTATTGATTTTATACCTACCCACTCGCGGCTTCTTCCACTTCACAGCGTCTTCCACCCCATTCGCACGGTGTACCTGATTCACCCCACGCCACCCTTCCAGAAAATCAAGGGCACGTTGCACCACCAAAGCCGGACTATGCGCAATGCCCTTCCAGATACTATCATTCCTGCTTGTCCACAATCCCCAACATACCATCACAAATCTTGGCAAAGAGTCAGCACACAACTTACTAACACACCAAAAAAACCAGTCAGAGATATTATCAACTGCATAAGCATTCAGCTGTGGCACACCTACAAGGTTCCAAATCCACCTGGCTTCGGTACAATTGACAAAAAGATGGATCGCTGATTCGGCAGCAAGCCTACACATATGACAATCAAGTGAACAAGCTACCCTTCTAGTAACCAACGCATCACGTGTCGGAAGATACGCAGAAGCCAATTGCCAACAAAAACATTTTACCTTGGGGGGAACATGTAAACTCCATATACTTGACCAAGGCCGATCATCAGAAGCAACCATGGTAATCCGTTTGTAGCACGACTTAACAGAATACACCCCTTTCATATCCCAGTGCCAAGTCCAACGATCAATAGGCCTGCGGCAACTAACTGGAATATTCATAACCAAACTTGCATCACTGGAATTTAAAATATCATTAACACAATCTAAATCCCAACCCGTACCTTGCACATTCATCAAAGACGATACCCGAGCTCCATAGACAGACTGGTGCAGCTCCGTTTCCACATAAGGATTGTCGTCATCAGGCAACCAAGGATCCAAACCAATGATCGTGTCAGCCCCATCTCCTACCACTCTTCTACACCCCTCCCTCAACACCCCCTGTACCGCCATAATACCCTTCCAAATGTAAGAGGGATTACTACCCTCCGTTGCATCAAAGAAACCACACCTCGGGTAATAACGCGCTTCATAAACCCGAGCCACCAAAGACAGTGGCCTGGTTACCAAACGCCAAGCCTGCTTCTCAAGCAACGCTTTATTCATCTCATGCAATCTCCGGTACCCTAAACCACCACAATCTTTCGGCTTACACAACCCCTCCCAAGAGTGCCACCGGATGCCCCGACCCCCTCCTACACTGCCAGTCCACCAATACTGATTCATCAATGTCTTAATCTCGCGGCACAGTCCCATGGGTAACAAAAAAATCATCATTGCAAAAGTGGGCATTGCCTGAATCACATTCTTAAGCAAAACCTCCCTACCTGCTCTCGACAGAAACCTTGCACTCCATGATCTTATTTTAGGAAGTATTCGGTCCTTGATAAAACCCAAAATCTCCTTCTTTCTTCTGCCGATAAGTGAGGGGAGTCCTAAATACCTTCCACTCGTAACCCCTTCCTCCACCCCCAAACCTCCACCACCTCGTTCCGCACATTCTGTTGGACATTTGCACTAAAACACGCAGTAGACTTATCATAGTTAACACATTGTCCCGATGCCTTAGAATAAGTATCCAGAACATACCTCATATGCACGCTCTCATCCATATTTGCTCGATGGAACAAGAAGCAGTCATCTGCAAATAGAAGATGAGAGATCGTCGGGGCACCTCTAGCAACCGTCACACCATGCAACACACCCCCAGCCATTCTCTTCTCCAACAATGCACTGAGCCCCTCGGTTACAAACAGAAACAAGTAGGGCGAAAGTGGGTCCCCCTGATGGAGTCCCCTACCTGGTATTATAGGCCTCAACTGCCGGTGCTCATGCAGCACACTATAACGCACAGATGTAACCGTCTCCATCATTAAATCCACCCACTGCCTTGCAACCCCCATTTTTAACATCACAGCCTCCAGATATAACCACTCAACCCTGTCGTAAGCCTTGGACATGTCCAATTTTAAAGCCACCACACCGTTCTGTCCCTGCGTTTTCCTTTTCAAGTAGTGGTGCACCTCATAAGCTAACATTATTTTGTCCGAGATTAGCCTTCCCGGAATAAAAGCACTCTGCGCACTGGAAATCAATTTATGCAACATATGTTTCAATCTGTTAGCACATACCTTAGCCGCAATTTTATAGACCACATTGCATAGAGCTATAGGGCGAAGATCCTTCATAGACATCAGACTCGGCTTCTTAGGGACCAGCACAATAAATGTCTCAGTTGCCCTCTGAGGGAGCTTTGCAGTCTCAAGAAACTGCTTACAAAATAACCATACTTCCCCTCCCACAATATCCCAATTGTGCTGGAAAAAGCCCGGGCCAAACCCATCAGGACCAGGGGACTTATCAGGGTGCATTTGAAAAGCTGCTTCGCGAACCTCCTCCATACTCAACGGCCTTAACAACCCCGCATTATCCAAATCAGTTACCCTGGTAGCAATAACATCAATCACCTCTTGCACATCCCCATAATCAGGCGAGAACAACTCCTCAAAATAAGCCACCATTAAACCCCCTAACCGTTCCTCCCTTTCCACCCAATTACCCTCACCATCTTGCAGCCTTACCACCTTATTCCTCCGCCGACGGGCTTTCACCGAATTATGAAAGAATCTACTATTCACATCACCCCCTTATACCAATGCTCTTTTGCTCGCTTCTTCCAGTACAAACTCTGTTGTTCAAGCAAAAACAAAAGCTCCTTCTGCGCAGCTGCATAACCACTCATCCCATTCCCATCACGCCGCATACACAGCCTATCCATCTGGCGCTTACAACGGTCAATCCTCCGTTGGAAATCCTTATTGTATTGACGACGCCAACGGCCAATATCAGTGGCACACATACCAATTCTAGAGATAGTATCCAAACCCGCAGACAGGGTCCAGCTCTGCACCACAATCTCCCTCCAAACGTCCTCCCGTAGCCACATGTTATCAAAACAAAACCTTGACCGACTCCTAATCCCAGGCAACACAACAGGAGTTACTAGTAACGGCAAATGATCACTATAAGGGACAACTAAAGACTGCACCCGTACACCCTCAAACAGAATAAGCCAATCATCAGATACGAGAACACGATCCAACTTCTCCTCAATCATATGATCAGTCCCCCTTGATTTTACCCACGTGAACTGGTTTCCACTAAAAGGCACATCATGCAGGCCACAATCATCCACCGCCGCTCTAAAACCATTTATCTGCCATTTGTTTTTGTATTTTTAAAACCTTTATTTGCATTATAGGGTCATACATAACCAACCATCAATATTAGTAATCAATCCAATTCCACCCTACTATCAAACATACACAATACTTTCAATAAACACATACCATTATCAAGTATTTGATTTCCATTCCGATTCTGATTCCCATATGCGAACCAAACACACTCTTATTTTGAAGATTGATTACATTATTTTGTTGGTGGAAAAGAAAATTACTCGAATATTAATTTCATTATTTGGTGAGGTTTGGAATTATAAGAAATAATGAGTATGTATAAAGATCATCATGCCCCTACATAATAAAATGATACTAAAAGTAATAGTAATTTATAAATTAAAAAAATTATAATTTTAAAGTTAAAATATTATAATTATATATTTTATATTATTATAAACAAGCTAAGCACCTTGTGCTCAGATGACATGTAATGATCTCTCTCATGTGGGAGGTCATGAGTGGTGGACTCTGTGTGCTTCATTAGGTTTGAGCATCTACTACAATGTAATAGAGTCTCCACAATAGTCGGTACTTAAGGCAAATGATTCATGAACACAATAGTGTATCAAAATAAGTCGGGCATTCTCACAAGGCAAATGAACACAATATTGTATCAAAATAAGTCGGGCATTCTCACAAGGAAAATGATTCAAATGGATTCCAAAAGAGAGATACAACAGATTATAACAAACTTTCCTCGCAACCAATCTTTAACATATGAATAGATCAAGGTCATAATTCAAGATTATAACAAGACAAAGACTATCAAGAAGGTCCCGCTAGAATCAAGGAATCGATATCAATAGCATAACGAACAACAAATACTCCTATCAATAGCATAACGAACAACAAATACTCTTAGGATTGAACAAATGATTCAAAACAGGAATTTCAACATATATAATTCGTAGGAATATCAAAGAATAAGATTCATAGATGATTAATAGTCCAAAACCGAAGTAGAGAATTCACAAGATATTACAAGCAGAATAATTAATAACCAACAGGGCTGGGAGACGGGGTCAGAGGACCCGCCGTCCCCTACTATGAGTACTAGGTTACCCTAAAGCGTGCTCTAAGGTATGTCAAAGCTACTATAGACTATGGACTATGTTTTCCGAAATTAAACTCAGACAACATTCATGCATTTTCGGATTCTGATTGCGTGGGATATCATGATGACCGCAAGTCTGATCCACTAGTGATTTTTCTATCTTTATTGGTAAAAATCTAATTTCATGGGCTTGCTGCAAGCAAAAGACAATTCCTCAGTTCCTAGATCATCAACAGAAGCTGAATAATTCTACCAAAAAAAAAAAAAAAAAAAAAAAAACAGAAACTAAATACAAAGCTATAGCCGATGTCTCAGCAGGGGTAACATGGTTAGTTGATTTAATTAAAGAACTTGGTCTTACTATGCAAAAACCACCAAAATTTTGGTGTGACAATCTTGGTGCCACCTATTTGTGTTCAAGTCTTGTGTTTCATGCTCGAACCAAACATGTTAAAATAAACTGCCATTTTGTTCGTGACAAAGTAATTACATCATATCAAAGGAACTACAAGTAATTAAACCAAATCTCTACAAGCCACTAACTACAGCAAGGTTCAATTATGATCTAAGGGAAAACTCAATATTCTCTCTAGATCAGAGAACCTTAAACTTGAAGGTACGTATTAGGACTCTATGCTCTAGTTACACTAGAATTCTTTCTCCATCTCTTTCTGTATTATTGTAAATCTACCTTAGCTTTTATAATTTATTAATTCCTAATGACATGACTAAGACTCTTTGTATTCTTATAATTAAATACATCTCTTTCTATACTTGTAAATTGAATTGATCAATTATATAATAAACATCTCTCTAGAAATTCTTGTCCACATCCTCTCAAATATTCTTTTTTTTTTTTTTTTTTTGTACTGAACGAATTTTCTGATCACCTGTGATATCCCATATTTTGTGGGCGCTATACGAGGACTGCATGTGCGTACGGAGTTAATTTTATTAAGTTCTCTTATCCTTATTACCTAATTTTATTTTGGGAAAATGGCACTTCTTCCCCCTAAGTTATATACTTATAGCATTTTCTCCCCCTGAATTATTCAAGTGGCTGTTTTTCCCCCTGAAATGTTAAATGGACATATTTACCCTTAAAATAAATATTTCATTTATTTTCCTTCTCCAACAAATTATGACAATAATTTGGTTCAAACCAAACAAACACTATAGCAACCAAACCGAAATATTCCAATTACAATTTAGAATCGAAACTCGATATTTAGAGTTTATTAAAATTGCGAACCGGAACGGACGATTCATGTACCGAACTGAAAAAAATAAAATATATTTATTGTTGAATTTAGACTATTTAAAATAAAAAATAAAATTTTAAAATAAAGACGGTTCAAAATTGCGAACCGGATCCAGAACCGCCGATTCACGGTTCAAGATCCAATTTTTTTTATTCATAATTTTAATAAATTGAAATCCAAATATTAGGTTCTAGATCTGAATCATAACTGGAAACTTTTAATTCAATTGCTATAGTGTCCGGTTCAGTTTGATCTGAACCGTGGTCATCCTTACGTATACGCGATAATTTGTTGGAGAAGTAAAATAAATAAAATGTTTACTTTAAGGGTAGAAATGTCAATTTAATATATCAGGGGGGAAAAATCAACACTTTTAGAATAATTGAGGGGGCTAATGTACTTACCTAAATAATTGAGGGGAAAAATGGCTATAAGTATATAACTTAGGGGGGAAAAGTGCCATTTTCCCTTTTATTTTATTCCGTAGCTTGGACTCCAAATTTGACCAAATACTATCATAAATCCATTACTATTTCGAACCTACTATGCTATACTCTTCTTCTTCTTACATTCAATATATATATATATATATATATATATATATATATATATATATATATATATATATATATATTATTCAATTCATTGTACTGTATTATATCCAGCTTGTGATCTTCACACCTCTCATTTCTTTTTATCGGCCATCTCTCCCTCCATCTATATAGATAATACATGTATACAATATATATCCATACACAGAAGTACTCCATGATATCTTCCAGTGGCGGAGCCATGATTTTTCTTCAGTGGGGGTGAAAAAGTAAAGGGAAAATAAATTAAAAATGTTCAAATACAAATTTCAAATACAAATAAGATTATTAAAATACAAAATACATTATAAATTACAATACAAGGTTCATGATAAACTACGGGATAATACTCCTCTATGCTCTCTCATATTTTGAAATTGTTGTAGAATTGTTTCATTTGAAACTTGATCAAAAATATATTTTTCATCATACGGTACTAAGCAATCATTTCAACATATGACAAATTAGTAATTAACTAGGGATAATCCACAGTTAGTAATTACTAATTAACATATTAGTAATTCACATAACTCAGCAATGAGCAATTAGGGCAATTGTTAACAGTATATATATATATATATATATATATATATATATATATATATATATATATATATATATATATATTAAAAATCATAAAGAAGTAGTTGAAAGTGTTGAAAACAGCAATAAGGATTATAAAACCATAAAGAAGCAGTTAAAAGTTGAAATTAACAACATGAGATTCAAACCCCCACCAGTTGGTAAGGTCAAACCTCGCATATCAACCAACTGATCTAACATCTCTATTGTTTACTTTTAACTGTTTTCATATATTTATATCCACTACAGGTACTATATATACATATACATATATATACAAGGGCTAGAGGTGGAGGTGGAGGTGGGGTGAGAAGGTTGTGGACGATTAAGGTGATGATGATGAACTAGTTGTCTGGTTCAATTTTATAAAAAAAAAAAATGAAGAATAATGATATTCTGATGATGATGTGAGTAATGGTTTAATGATGATGGCATACGAATGATAATGAAGATGAAATGATGAAATGGTCTGCTAATTAGAGTTTATATTGATGCTTGCGGCAAATAAGCTTAATAATAATAATAATGGCTACCGTATATTTTTTTTTTAATGCTACTGGCTCTATTACAATGTAGTATCTGTTCATATACTTTCTCAACCTACTGAAACACAAAGAACCAATAATGCCTTCACTAAAAGCTCGAACTCACAACCTTCCAAATGGGAGTCCAACCCGAGTACCATTAGACAACATAGTCTTAGTATGGTTACCGTATATAAATTAGGTTTAACTGATTCACAGGTTCTCTATCAAGGGGATTAGAATCAAGGGTTAATAAAGTTTTGACTTTAATGGTAAGATTTTATGTTCACCAAAAATTACCTTTTTCTTGTAAATATTTCATGTTGTGAGAATATGAGTATGATATCCATGATTATATGTACATAAACTATTTGCTCCAAAAATCAGTGCATGTGAACTATGTGTTGTATGATTTTGAGTTATAATGTTCATGTGATCACAAGTGCATTGTAATGTTGTGAGTAGTGATTCTCGAGCTATCGAGAATGGACTTCGTGTCGAGCCCTGTGTGTGTAAATGCTTGGCTTGGAATTTTTGGTATATATATATATATATATATATATATATATATATATATATATATATATATATATATATATATATATATATATATATATATATATATATAATGATCAAATGTGATCAATTTACAAAAAGTGTTATTTTGACAAACTACACTATTTATATATGTGGTGAAATCTTATTATTATTCCACGTTCATATTATTACCAAATAAAGTTTGGAAAAGAAATATTTTGACATGAAAATATCTACTACACTAATAAGAGCCCAAGAGAGTTAGGCCTATAATGGGTAGAAAAAATGGCGGTCACACATTTTAATCAAATGAATGGCTCATATTGATTAAAAGATTGATCAGATTTAAATTTTACACTAAAATTTCCTAAAATACCCACACACCGTTACTAATTCCGTTAAAATTTTAAGAATTGCCGTTAGTTCACCGTTAATTTATTAATTTCAATAAAAAAAAAAGGTCTTAGGTTCGAACCTCATCCCAATCAAAGTTGGCATAATTAGTACTCTATTTTACTCTTATTAAATTACTAGTTCTTTTACGCACTTTGTGCGAATGAGATAATGCCCAATAATTATTTTT